TTGCTCAGCGGGGAGCTGCTTCTTCCTCTGCCTGCTGTTCCCCCTGCTTGTGCTCGCTCTCTCCCTCTCTCTGACAAATAAATAAAAAAAAAAAAATCTTTTAAAAAATTAAATAAAATCTTTTTAAAAAAAGACTCAAGGTGTAAAACAAGGACAGCTGTTTTTAATTCCTCAGAGAATTGGATTGCCACCTAAAAGATATCAAAAGACTGACACATCCATCTATGTTGAAAGGTTTTTCTGTCCCTTTGGGTACATTTAGCATAGGGATAAAGGCCAAAACAAACAAACAAACAAACAAACAAAACAACCCCACAAGTTCTTATCAGACTCTGAATATCAGCCACCAACCTGGCCAACTTCCAACCACAGAGCTACTTAAACATTCTTTTAAATATTTTGTCAGTTTCATTTAGGACCAACAGCAAACAGTGCCCTGGAAACTGGTAATTTCTAGGACAACTACACATGTAGCTATCAAATGATCCAGCAATTCCACTCTTAGGTACATACCAAGAAAAAAATGGGTGCACATGTCCATAAAAAGACTTGTACATGAATGTTCATACAACTCTACTCGTTATAACTAAAGATTTTTTTAGACACAACCCAAATGTCCAACAACAGGAGAATGAATAAAGAAATGGTGGTATATTTCTACAAGGGACTCCTATCACATGGCAATAAAAAAGAACAAACTACTTATACATGCAACAACATGAATTCCAAAAACATTACATAGAGAGTGAAAAAGGCCAGACACAAGTGAGTACTTGCTGTGTAATGATTTCATTCGGATGAGGTTCAAGAACAGACAAAACTAATCTACAGCGACAGAAGTCAGGACAGTGGTTACCTCTGTGGGAGGAGAACTATGGATTGGAAAGATACAAGGCAAGTCCCTGGGGTGAAGGAAATGTCTGTATCCTGATCTGAGCACTGCCTGCGCAGAGGTATACACTTTGGAAGTGCCTTTGTGTTTTTGCTTCCCTTTAATAGTTACAAATGCACCAGTTTCACAGTTGCCTAGTTTAAAATGCTAAAGGGACAAAACAATTTACAATGAAAAGTCTTCTCCCAACCAGTTCTCGGATATCATTCTACAGATAGTCTTTTATACGGTTTCTATTTTGAAATTCTTCTCATGGTTTCCCCTATGTATCTATAAAATCTGCTTATAAAGTTGTTACTGCTTCGGAATCAACTTTAGTCTTTCCCTATTGACTTCCTGCTGGGGCTGTGAAGGTAGAGACTTACTCTTGAAAATTCTCGAGCTGTATGAATTTTTAAAGTCACAGGTATTTTTTTGAAAATTAAAAATTAAACTCTTAAAGAGGGCTTTTATGTAAATATCAAACAAACCAGTTAACACAACTTACTCCAAGAGATTGGAGAACTAACTAATATTGGGCTGAGCCAGAGTTTTCGTGTTAAAAAAATTCACAACCAGATGTGCAGACACCACACGTTGGGCGTGGGAACCCACCCCTCCCACTCAGAGAACTGCCGTCCACGCCCTTTTAAAAGGACAGCGCCCTCCCAGGGTCGCACCCCCTGATGGCTAAAGATGTAAACGAAGTCTCCTAGCGCAGCCTCCCCTTAAAGGGGAAATGCATTTCTGTCGTCTAAAAAGGGAGCGTCCAGCAGTGCCTTGCCTTAAAGTAAAACACTGCCCCCCCTTGTTAAAAGGGTAAAGGTCCCCGTCGGGCCCCACCTCACCTGCGCGGTCACTTTATACTCGGTGTAGCCCTTGGGGTGGGTCCGGGGGTCGGAGACTGTGTACTGCCGCAGGAAGTCGTCCTTCGCCTGGCGGGACATGGCAGCCGAGCCGGAGTGGAGCTGCCGGCCGGCCTCCGCCTTCTCCACGCCGCCCCCGCCCCTCCGGGTCAGTCCTCGCCAGCCACCGCCTGTCCGTGGCCTGCGTCCGCCTTCCCCGGGCCCAGGGAGCCGGTCGCAAGTGACGGTGCAGTTCTCGGCCTCGGCTTGCGGCCAGGGAGCGTCTAAAAAGTTCTCAGTGGCTGGTAAAGCGTGAACTAGGTGATTTTTAAGAGTTGAGGACTGGGGAGGTTGGATCACTCAGCTCTGACCAGTGTTCAAGCCCGCCCCATCCAACGTGTCCAAACGACTTCTCCTCTGCTTCCCAGTTCCCTTCTTTTATCTACCTACCCAACTTTTATTGTGTCCAGTGCGTGCCAGATGTAGCCAAATCATTTCCCTGTCTCCCTCCATAGGATTCGATAATTCATATTTTCTGCAAGGGTAGGGGAAGCAAAAAAGAACTCCAGAGAAGCAGGATGGCTTTATAGGTTCTGAAGTCACACTTCTTACCAGCTGTATGAGTTTCCGTTAACTACTGGAGCCCAAGTTTCTCATCTCTAGAATGTTTATAGTGTTTATAAGGGATGTTTATAATAGAATCTACTGCAGAGGATGATTCTTTTTTCCCCTGCTTGGTCTGTCCAGCATTCAGCCCCACCTATCCGTTAGCACCATATCTTTGTTTGGAGGTAGTTCTCCCTAGGGGTAGCCCTTCAGCCTCCTACCCAGAATCCAAAGGTGCCAGCTCCTTTCCTTGCCCCGCCCTGGATGGGGGTGGGGGGAGTCTCTCCTGAAGCTTGAATCTTGAGTTTCTTGAGTGAGGGACAGAGGGCACAGTGCCTGGCAAGGGCACTAGTTTGTTCCTGATGTGCGGTGTTGGCTGTGGATTGAGCTGCCCAGCCTCTGGGCACTCTTTTTTCCAAACCTGATGTCCGGCATCCTGAGACCTTCATCGGGATTCTATGAGTTCTTAGTATCCTTCCAAGAACCATCCTTTCTGCTGAAGGCAGTTGTGATCCATGTCTGGGGCAGGCCTTCGAGGACCCTGACCGATACCACAATGACCAGGTTGTGAAGCTTCAAACTGGTAGTGTGGGTGAAGCGGCCGCTCTTATAGTGGACACTGTATGGCCAGTTTCCAGACAGAGACAAAGCCAAGTCCCAGATGAGACTCATGGAAGCTCAGACACAGGGTAGATCATCCGGGAGGTGTTTGGGAGGAGGCTTAGATGGGTGGCGGCCCCTTGAACAACACGCACCTCTAGAGACCCTTTTTAGACATCACTTCTGCTCTCTCAAGCTCTCCCGGCAGGACTGGCTCCAAGTCTTCTTCTTGCCCATCATTCCCTCCCCTCCCTGACCCTGCTCCCAATTCTCTCCATTTTCTCTTCTTTCGCCCTGTCCCCTCCAAGCCCATTCCTACGAAGATCAGTTTGTCCCCCGGCCTTCAGACTCCAACTCCACTATTTCCATCATCAGGAGAAGCAAACAGAAGAGCCCTCTTAGCCGTAAGGAGGAGAGAGGAAAGCTGCAAATGCACAGCTGCCAGTCGGGCCCCCCACATTCCTACCCCCACTGGGTTGACCACAGGATGCAGACTTGCTGCCACAGCTCAGATCCCCCATCCACAAGCCTTGGTAATGAGTATAACCTTGCTATTTCCTTGTCTCTAACCATGCAGAATTCACTCTTTTAAATCAAGGATGCTGCTAAGGGCCCCCAGGAGGACTTGACCCCTGGGGTGGCTCATCCAGATCAGTAGATGGCTGAGTTCCCGTTGGTTGGATCTGCTTGAGCTCCTACCGGTTCAAATACTGAACATGATGGCTAACATTATACAATGACACACAAGACACCCACCCATTTGGTCCTTGTCCCGCCCTTAGCGGGTGGGTGCCTTATCTTTCCCCAGAGGACAACACAGGCACAAACACGCGAGGCACTTGCTAAGCATCATCCAGTGAGTGGCAGGGCTGGGCTTTGGCTCAGGAGCCTGGGTCTGTTCACTCACCACAGGGCTTGGGTAGCACGGGGATGACAATGTCTGTCTTGCACAGAGGACAGGGCAGGGGGTTTTAATTTTCTACGCTAAAGGACAGTTTATGTTCTAAGGTTGTTTACCCAACATCAATTTCCCTTCTTCTTTCTTAACAGAGCCCAGATTTTGCACACATCTGTACCTCTCCAGGAAGGGATCCTGGTGCCAGTTTAGGAGCAAATCTCGGTGGCTCTTCCTCACCTTTTCCTTGGGAAAACTACTCTTTGCTCATTAGACACATCAGGCCTCCTCTCTCTGCCAGCTGAGCTTTGAGCAGAGACAAAAACCTAGAATAGTATGGCGTAGTGGTTAAATGTGCTGGGTCCAAATCCCAGCTTCCCTACTTCCCAGCTGGGTGGCTTTGAGCAAGTCACGTAACCTCCTTCCCGGAGGCTCAGTTCCCCTATAGACGGGATCTGGAAAGTCTGTACTGTTTAGGGCTGTTCTTCAATGTGATGATGCCAGGGAGTGCTTCGAACAGAACCCAACGGAGTAAGCAGCCCCAGGTAAGACCAGAGCAGGGGGCCCTGTGAAAACACCCATCTGTCGGGTCACCTGCCGGGCAACCCTGCTTCAGAGAGCGCCTTAGTCTTCAGAAAAAGACCTTTCCCTGCTCTGCTCGGTTAGCAAGCCCTGCTTGATGATCACGTCCTTACACCCGAGTCCTCTCCCCTCCCCACTTCCCAGGAGCCCTTGAGCTTCATTTCTCGGTCACGTGGGTCCCACTGCTTGAGCCAGCGCTGACCGCTGCCTGTGGGTTCCTGGCTACGGTGGGGAGTTGGGAGTTGAATTTCAGCCCGTATTCCCTTCAGCAAATCATGAGCCCTGATGTGGGGCTGTGTCCCTTCTTCTTATTTACTGTTTAGGTAAACTGTCCACCCCCTTCCTCTACACAGAGAACTTCTACTTAGCCTTCCCACCCAACGTCAATGTCACTTCCTCTGGGAAGCCTGCCTGGACTCTTCCAAATGGAATTAGTTGCAGCCCTGTCCCATGCTTCTGTAACGCTTCGTGTGTCCCTGTGACACAGCAGCAGTGAACCCTCTGACTGGAATGATCTGTCCCTTTCGGTGCCCCGCTACCCTGCGGGCTCCTGGGGGTGGGTCTCGGAGAGCTGTGGAAGCAACAAACGGCTCCACCAGGAACTGGGGCAAGGAACGGTTTATTCTCACGGCTGAGCAAAGGATGAGGCCCACAGCCTTGGTAGCAGCAGAGGCAGCCCCCTCCCGGGCCCGGCCCCCTCCTCTCCCTCCTCTCCGGACGGCGGCTGCGGGCGGGCTGCGTCGGGAGCCAGGGCAGCAGCCCTCCAGCCACGGGAGCCGGGGGGCCACAGAGCAGCAGCTTTAGGCGCGGGGTTGGGGGTGTTCGCCAGGCTGGCTGACTCGCATTCCCCCATGGATGGTGCCTGATGAGGGCTGGGGGTGGGGGCGGGGCTGGACTGTGAGGTGGGGGGCATCCGGAATGCTTCAGTCGGCCGTGAAGATGCGGCTGGAAATGTCATCCAGGAGCCAGTCAATGCCGAGTAGGAGGTTCTCCCCGGTGACGGCGCTACAGCCCTGGATGCACCAGTGGTGGCTATGGATGGAGTCCAGCTCCAGGGCCTGGGAGGGCGGAAGAGGGGGGCGGGCCCCGGTGACCGCGGGCCCTGCCACTCACAGCCCCTTCCCCCTCCCGGCCCAAGGGAAATCCGTGCCTCCCTCCAGGGCCCTCAGAAGTCTCCTGGGGAAGTCTCCCTTGAGGATCTGTCAACTCCTCGGGGCACCTGGGCTCCGGGTACACCACCACACCCCCTTCGTAACAGCATAGCAACGTGGGCTCCCGAGCAATTGTCCTCCCATCCATTCCTCCCAAGGCCCAGGGAGCCGGGGATTGCTGGCCAGTTTACTGAGGAGAACAACAATCCTGCCTCCCAAGTAGGAGGCAGGATACAATTTGGGGTCCCACAGGCCTGCCCTGAAATCCTGACTTGTCTGCTCACTGGCCGAGTGACCTCACTTCTCTAAACCTGCTTGGCCATCTGCAGAACGATCGTAATGGCTCCTCCCTCAGGAGGCTGGGGTGAGAACTGGATGGGCTCATCCACGCTCACCATCCATGCTCACTACCGGCTGGCTGCTGCTACCCTGTAGGGTAACGTTTGCACGTCTGCCTTCCCCCGGCCTGTGGGCCACAACTAGCCCTTATCCATCAATCTCCAGTGTCCGCCACAGGTCCTGCCACACAAGAGGAGCTAACACATGCTTTTTAAAATAAGGGAACCAAGAAACGTGTGCGCCTTTCCCTCCATGGGCTTATGCTAAGGCCCAGACTCACCTCACGGATGGCGTTAGAGGACAGTGCTCCGGGCAGGTCTTGCTTGTTGGCAAAGATGAGGAGGGTGGCTCCAGCCAGGCGCTGGGGGAGAGAAACGGTGGGGGGCGTGGGGGCTCAGAGGGCAGCCCGGCCCCTCCTCTAATCACCCAGATCAGGTGGGGTCAGAGATCAACCTGGAAAATCAGGGCAAGGCCCCGGGGTGGTATAAGAGGCCCAAGTGGGGTAGGCGGTGTGGACATGGCCTGTGAGTCCAGCCATACATGGGGGTGGGGCGGGTGGCAGGGAGGGAGCCCTAGGCTGGGGCCCAGCGGGCACCTCTCTTCCCCATGCCTCAGTTTCTTCCTCCATAAATGGGGAGGGGGTGATGGACAAGATGATTCCTGAGCCCTCTGGCTCTAGACTGTCCCATGTGATGACCCGACCTGTACAAAGAATGCAAGCGTCCGTCCCGGGGCCATAGGGTCTGCTGGGAGTGACCCTTCCCTCTTCCAAGGTCATGTAGCACTTTCACCGTTCCACTACCGGGCCTCACTCTCTGCCTTGGCTTCCAGTTACTTCCACATGTTGCTCCTGACCGGGAGTCCCTCCAGGTAGGTAGGTGGATCTGGGCCTGATGAAGGGCCTCGGGGTGCCAGGCCAGGGCTGAGCATGGACAGCCATGATCTCATTGGACCTGCGTGGCACCCCCTGGAGGTGGCTAGTGCTAGACCAGCTGACCGCGTCCCTGTGTGCCCAGAACAGTCCTGTTTATGTCTGTTGTCCCTGTGTAATTATTAACAAGTCCCCCTTTTGTTCTTAAAAGTGACCTGATTTTCAACTAGATGCAAGTGTAGTAACCCAGATCAAAACCTGGAACAGAAAAAGGATAGCAATGGAAAAACTGGTGAAACCTAAAAAGAATCTGTAGTTAAGAGTAACTTGCCAACGTTCACTTCTTAGTTTTGACAAATGCACGGTGGTTATGTATGATGTTACCATTAGAGGAAGCAGGATGAAAAGTATATGGGGTATCTCTTCACTATCTTTGCAACTTTTCTGTAAATCTAAAATTTTATTTAAAGGAAAGTGTTTGGGGCCAGATAATAAGTTATAAGATCACCCTAATTCTAATGCCCATCTTAGAAATGAGGAAGTGGAGGTTCAGAGAGGTTAAGTGTCTTGCCTGCGGTCACATAGCAAAGAGTCCAACTCCTGAGCCAGGATCCACTGCCTCCCAGAGCTTCACACACTGGCCTCGAGTCATCCTCCCTAAAGCCCCATTCAAGGTGCAGAACCTAAAGCTCAGGGTGCTGAAGAGCAGTGACATCAAAGGGACATGAACCCAGGTCTCAGTTCATAGCACGTCCTGCCCACAGCACTGTGGGGCTCCCTGGGACCAAGCGTACAGGTGGTCTCTGACTCCCCAAGGGTGCTGGGCACCTGCTGAGGCTCTGTGGAGAAGGAGACCCCGCCCTAGGTGCCCCTAAGGGGATCCACTGAGGAAGGTGTTCACACATCCACGCATGGGCACCAAGTTTCGGGGCCCGGATGCTGTTGGAAGCCTGGCTTCCCCTGCTTAGCCCGGTGCCCTGCCCACCTCCTCCACCAACAGGCTCTGGAGTTCCCGTTGGCAGTCCTGCATGCGCTGACGGTCAGCACTGTCCACCACCCAGATGAGGCCGTCTGTGCTCTCGAAGTAGTTCCGCCAGTAGGACCGCAGGGACTTCTGGCCGCCCACATCCCAGATGTTCAGCTTGAATCTGGGCGGGAAGCGGGGTGGCGAAGAGGGTCAGCCTGGCCCCTCACCCGCGCTCCCTGCCCTACGCCGGGGCCAGCCCACTTCAGGGTCCCTGCTTACCCTCGGTGCTCCAGGGTCTTGATGTTGAAGCCCAGCGTTGGGGAGATGGTGTCAATGTCTTCCCCATTGAACTTCTTGAGGATGGTGGTTTTGCCAGCGTTGTCCAGGCCGCTGGAGCACGGCAGGTTAAGGAGAAGTCCCCGTGCTCTGCAGAATGGTGACATCATCCCGGTGCCCCTCTTTTAGGGAACGAGTCATTTCCCACCAGGTAGCACATTAGTTGAGCCCGTGCCTGACACACAATTTACTGGCCCACGCTAAATGGGAAAGGATCGAGAGTGCTCATCTCTACCTAACCAAAGGTCCCTTAGTTTACTCTACAATATTTAGTGAACGCTTACTATGTGCCAGGCCCTCTTCTGGGGCTGGGGGTACCCCGGAGCCGAAGTCCCCACCGTTGTGCAACTCCTATTCTAGTACGGAGACAATCGATAGAGCGCAAACAAATGGGAAACAAGGCACCGTCAGCTCCTGGGGAGTGTTAAGAAATACAGCTGAGAGGCTTTCGGAGGGGGCCTCCACAGGAACTTTCTTTAGCTCGAGCAACTCTCTCAGAGTCTCGAGCTGAGGCCCAAACTTCAAGGAGGAGCCAGCTTTCCAAAGGACTAAGGGAAGAGCCTTCTAGACAGTGGGAAGAGCAAGAATATGTATCTGGAGGTAGCCACCCTCACCTTTCTTTTTCTGGAATGTTCCAAACCCTTTGCTGCGAAGTGAGGGGGAGTTCAGCAGCTGGAAAGAACCCCCTCCCCCCAATCCCATCCTTCTAACACTTAAGAGGGCTTGCAGCTGGGAGGGGGCCCAGGTGACTCAAACCAGTAGAATGAGGATGACAAAAGCCCTCCGGAGACCCAGACTTTGCCTCCAATATACCCCCCCACCTCCGAACCCCATCATCCCCTGGATCATTCCCATCAGCTGCAAGCCGGTGTCTCTCTCACCTTAGGAGAAGCAAACCACACCCTCTCTTGATCCCTTTATAGCAAACCTCCTCAAAACCTCTGTCCATACTCACCCTCTCCCATTTCCATCCTGCTCTTTCTTGAACCCATGAGACTTTTGCTCCCACTGCTTCCCTGAAACTTCTCTTGCCAAGGTCTCTAAAGACCTCACATTGTGCTCTGGCTGGGCAGTCCTCAGCCCCCCCGGCTTCCTCTCCATCAGAAGCACCTGACGGAGTGGCCTGCCCCTTCCTCCACTCCCTTACCTGGTTCCCATCGCCCTGACCTCTTACCCAGGTACGCCTCAGTTCTCCTCCGTCCACACTCATCCCTTAGTGCTCTCACCCAGGACCAGGCTTCAAATACCATCTTTATGCTGATGACTCCAAATGTACACATCCCACCCAGCTGCTCCTCTGGACTCAGTCCCTCTATGCAGCTGCCCATCTGACACTTACAGGATGTCCCAGAGGCATCTTGCATGGCCAAACGCCGAGCTCCCATCTTTCTGAACCTGCTCCCTGCCCCTTGCCCCAACTCAGCAAGTGGTTCCTCATTCTTTGCACTGCTCAGGCCAGAAACCTAGAAGTCAGGCTTGACTTCACGCTCCCTCCCACACTCGAGTCCAATCCAGCAGCAATACCTGCTGGGCCTCTGGTCAGAATGTCCCCCAACTTCCATCACCCCACTGCTTCCATCCCGGTCCAAGCCACCATCCCATCTCGCCTGTGGTGCGGCAACTAATCTCTGATCCCGCTTCCCCTCGGCAATTCTCATTTAAAGGAAAAGCCAAGAACCAAAAGGCCCTACATGAGGTGGCTCTTCTGTCCCCGCTCTGTCCTAACCTCCTTGCACACTCTCTCCAGCCACACGGCCCTCCTTGACATTCCTTTAACACACCAGCTGAGTTCCTCCTTCCAGACCTTGCACTTGCTGTTCCTTTTGCTTAAACAAATTTCCCCGGGTATCTACATGGTTCATCCCTCACCTCCTAGTCTTTACTCAACTGTCACTTTCTCATTGTGGCCTTCTTTGACCCTGTTTAAACTGAATTCTTCATGCATCCTATACCTTTTACCTATTTACTTTGTTAATATCCTTCTCCCCACAGCACTATAGACCGTCCATGACGGTTAAGGATCTGTTTTGCCGTTTTACCCCAGCTCCCAGGGCAGTGCCGAGCACACAGCAGGCACTCAATAAATATTTAATTGGGTGCGTGAATTCTCTGTGCCCTTCTCTGAGCTCTTTAAAACAGACATGATGTGAATGTTATAAAGTTATCTGCGCACTTAAATGTCTTCTCTGCCCTGCCAGGGGAGCTCCGGGGGAGACCCGCCCAGCTCTGGGATCGCAGAGTCCCGATCGGGCCTGGCACAGAGAAGGGGGAAAGAGGGCAGGCGCCCGCTAACGGGACTCAGAGGGTCCGTGGGGCCCTCGGGCCTACAAGCCGTCAGTCGCGGTTGGGGAGGATACCGTGCGGTCACAACCGAGAAACTCGACACACGGCAAAAACACCCCGCGCGGTCTACACCCGCCTCCCCTAGGAGCGCAGGGCGGGGCCCGCACGCCCCCGGGATTCCGACCTTGAGGGCGGGGCCGGGGCCTGACACCCTCGGATGGGGGGAGGAAGGTCAGAGGCAGGGAGGACAGCGGCCTCACGCTCGAGCCAGACCGACGGGTGGTGACATCCGAGTCGCCTCCGGGTCCCCCTCCCCCCCACACAGGGACATCCGGTCCCGCCGCTGCGCCTTTAGGCCCTCACCTTTGGCCTTGGAAACGGAGTCCCCCCCCGCCCCGAGCCGGTGGTACGGCCTCCTCCCGGCCCCCCGCCGGCGCGATTGGTAGGGCCCACGTGCGTGACGCACAATGGGCAGTTGGTACGCGCGGGCCGCGCACCCCGCGCCCGGTAGGGGGCGCCTGGCACCGCCTGCCCGGTGGGGAGCCCCCCCCACCGCTACCCTCGCTGCTCCGGCGTCCGGGAGGATACAGCATGAGCAGTCGCAGCTCCCGCTCTTTCTGCTTCATCTTCTTCAGAATGGTCAGAAGCCCCATGGTCCCTGTAGTCCCCTCCCGGCCGCCGTTTCTTCCTAGTCCCGGGACCCCTCTCCCTGCTCCTATTGGCTATCACGCCCACCGACAGCGCAGCCTATTGGCCGGCCTCTCGTTTGGTCCCGCCCTCCTCTCACGTGACCGCGAAGCCGCCCGGAGGTGCAGCTGAGATGGTCCCTCTAGCGGCGCTGGGGGCTTCTGCGGGGCCACCAGCGTTAACCCTTCGCTTCCCGAGGGTTTGGGGGACGAGGGCACCGCCATTCCTTCCTCCCCAGGAACCTAGGCTCGGCTGGGAACGGAAACCCGGTTGTGTCTTGGCTACATAGGAAGTAGGAGTTCTGACTCAGGAGTCGAAATCCAGAGCCCCAAGGAGGTTTACAAGCTCGTTCCGGGGCCCCGTTCCCCGGAAACATGGTCCAGATACGGCTCGTCGTGGACCTCGGCATCATCCTCAACCTGCCAGTTAGAGGGCCTCCCCGTTTCCCTGTCTCCTGGACTCGGCGAGGGTGGGCCGGAGATTCTTCATCGCGGGCGAAAATGCCCCCTAGGGGCCGTTTCGAAACGTGCGGGGACATTTTTGGGTTGTCCCAATTGCAAGGTACGGTCCCTGTCGTTTTGAAGGTAGGGGGCCGACCCGCGCAAGGAATTGTCCCGCCCAGGATGCCCATCGTTTCTCCGTTGAGAAGCACTGTTTTTCATTTTGCCAGTGAGAATATTGAGGTGCACATGATGCTTACACCGTGTCTGGCATATAGTAGGTGCTCAATAAATATTTGTTGTTGAATGAATGACTTTGTGCAAGAGTTTGGTTCTTTACCTCAGCGCTCAAGTCCTGAAGAAGTGAAGAAAATGAGGGCAGGGACTAGGTAAATTGTAAACTCAGAAGGGGGAGCTAAGCCTACTGTCTTACATGGAGCCCTACCCCCCAGCCAACTACCAGGGTAAATGTGAGTAGACGACACACAGAGGGCTCTTTCTGCTGCTTGGGAAAGAACAGTCCCTCACCAGCCGAAGATAATGGCTGATTTCTGTGAATTGTTTATAAAGCACTCCACGTTTTCTACTTCATCCTCCCACCAACCTGGGGAGGTTTGTTGCCTTTTTGCAGATGTGACAGTGAAGTCCAGAGGATTTAAAAGGAGCTTGGGCAGCAGTTGAAACTCAGGTCTGGTTGACAGTAAAATGCCCTATTTTTTAGGGGCTCTCCATAGTGTTGGTCTAGAGAGGGAGAAGTCTGGAGCAAGCCTGAGCTTCCAGTCCTGCAGAAGGAGGTTGTGGACAGATGAGGGCTGGACAGAACAGGGTGCCTGGCTGAGCCCCCTGGGCCAGTACAGTTTACCCTCCACCAAGCACACGCAAGGGAAGAAAGTGAGCCTGACTCCTATTCAAAGGCTTTTGAGACACAACTAAGACCACATGATGCCTGCCATCCTGCCTCCCTGAGTCTATGCGACAGAAATCCCAGCACCAGCACGTGAACGTTTATGACAAGGAAGTTCACTGTGGCAGGGTTTGGAACAACAAAACATTGGGAAAAAATCTAAGTGCCTTCAGTGGGGATCGGTTACCTAAGCTGGGATACACCTATGCGGTGGATCCCATGAAGATTTTGAGAAGGGCCAGATGAAGCATAATGTACCTGCATGGAAAGATGTCATGCCATGTTAAGTGAAAAAAAAAAAAACACATTTTTGGGGGCGCCTGGTGGCTCAGTCGGTTGGGCGACTGCCTTCAGCTCAGGTCATGGTCCTGGAGTCCCGGGATCGGGTCCCACGTCGGGCTCCCTGCTCAGCAGGGAGTCTGCTTCTCCCTCTGACCCTTACCCCTCTCATGTGATCTCTCTCTCTCTCTCTCTCATTCCTGCTCTCTCAAGTAAAGAAATAAATGAAATCTTTGAAAAAAAAAGAAAAGAAAAAAACATTTTCAATGCCATTTTAATATTAAAAATAACAGTAAAAACAATGACCCATGAAACAATGTCTTCCTGCGGGATGCAGCCCATTAAGCAGAATGTGAAACTACTTTAGCGTCACAAATTAGTTGAACCATATGAAATCGCCCATATTTTACCGTTTTGACTACAAAGATGTCAGTTTCATATGGTTCAACCTAGCAGCATTAGCAAAAAAATTACATGGAATGAAGACACTAGACAATATCGCTGCCTTTACCCGTGGAATAAAGGTAAGTCATGTTTGTCGGAAAATCCAGATATTTATTTATTTATTTTAAAAGATTTTATTAAAAAATTTGAGAGAGTTGAGAGAGAGCATGAGAGGGGAGAGGGTCAGAGGGAGAAGCAGACTCCCTGCTGTGCGAGGAGCCTGATGCGGGACTCCATCTTGGGACTCCAGAATCATGACCTGAGCCAAAGGCATTTGCTTAACCAACTGAGCCACCCAGGCGCCCCCCAAATCCAGATATTTATATGTACATGTGTACTTCTTAGTGAGAGTCCTAGTCATGAAAGTTTGAAAATCACTGCAATTCGACTGTTAGCTCTGGAGTAGGTTTGAGGGAAACTTAAAACCATTACCTTAAGCACATCTGGATTGTTTTACTTTATGACTACCACTAGTACTGAAATCCTTGTTTAAATGTCAGGATGAAAGCCCTGCCCTGTGCAAGCTGTTGCAGCTTCCCACGGGCCACAGGGTGGGATTATAATGGATATCAATAAAAAAACAACAAAAAACACTGGAAGCTCTGTGAAATAGTAGTCCAGGCTGTAACTGTATTTAACCTTCCATTTTTTTTTTTTTAAGATTTTACTCATTTATTTGTCAGAGAGAGAGAGAGTGAGCACAAGCAGGGGGAGCAGCAGGCAGAGGGAGAAGCAGACTCCCCGCTGAGCAAGGAGCCCGATGCGGGGCTCGATCCCAGGACCCTGGGATCATGACCTGTGCCCAAGGCAGACACTTAACCGACTGAGCCACCCAGGCGGCCCTGTATTTAACTTTTGAATAATAATTGCTTGGGGGCGCCTAAGTGGCTCAGTCGGTTAAGCATGGACAATTGGTTTGGGTTCCTGTCATGATCTCAGCATATAGGCTGCTTGAGATTCTTTCCCTCTCCCTCCTCCTCTGCCCCCCACCTCGCATGTTCTCTCTCTTGCTCTCTGTCTAAAATAAATAATAAATAAAAATCTTAAAAAAATAATAATTGCCTATAGCTAGAAATCTAGACTGGGGGGGAGGAGGGGCAGAGGGCTTTTATTTATTTATTTATTTTTTAAAAATCTTTATTTTTTTTTTTTAAAGATTTTATTTATTTATTTATTTGAGACAGAGAGAATGAGAGAGAGAGAGAGTACATGAGAGGGGGGAGGGTCAGAGGGAGAAGCAGGCTCCCTTACTGAGCAGGGAGCCCGATGTGGGACTCGATCCCGGGACTCCAGGATCATGACCTGAGCCGAAGGCAGTCGCTTAACCGACTGAGCCACCCAGGCGCCCGGGGCAGAGGGCTTTTAAAGACAAGTGCAGGGGCCTTAGTGAGGGACAGGCAGTATTTTCATTTGCCTCTTTGAAAGGAAGAAAGCGTGCTCTTAAGGAAGTAAAATCTTTAGGGAATACCCTTGGAAGAAAACTGGAAAGATTATAGAGCTGTAGCTATATATAACTGTGAATATGTATATATTCACGAGAGAGAATCGGGAAATTGAAATACCAAATCCTGTCAGCTGTGAAACCTGCTGTTGAAGGGAGAGTTTCTGGAGGCTAAATAAGTGGATTGTAACTTGAGGACAGAGTTCTAGATGCCTTTTTTTTTTTAAAGATTTTATTTATTTATTCATGAGTGACAGAGGCAGAGGGAGAAGCAGGCCCCCCACAGAGCAGGGAGGCTCATGTGGGACTCGATCCCAGGGCCCTGGGATCACGACCTGAGCCAAAGGCAGATGCTCAACCAACCGAGCCACCCAGGCGCCCCTAGATGCCTTTTAAAAAGGCATGCGTGTTTACCCAATGTCTGGGGAGGAAATTTTTGCATTATAATTTTAATTGTAAGTGGTGTAGCCTTTTTGAGTCAGCAATACATTTCATGTATCACCTTTATAATCATAAAAGAAAAGTGACAACTCTTTTTATCCTGGAACAACAGCAAGCCGGGGAAAAGACCCTGCCTTAATCAAATTGCTGGTCATTAAGCACTGGCAAGAACCATACCTAAGTATCCTATTTATTTATTTGCCCTAGATGAATTTTCTATTTGATTCTTCTAAAGTATAATGTTCATGGACATTGTTTAAAGTTACAGTTTTGATAAAAGGAAGTCTGTTTTTCTCTGGTGAGACACATCTGTGGAGCACCAGCATATGACAGAAGCACCAACCAGCACTTGGTGGCAGCATACCCAAGTGTAGGCTTTGCCCTACCAATCAGTAAACAAAGAACTGGAAGTTTGAGTGTGCAACCTAATCCCTGGAATGGCCACAACCTCCAGACCACAGTTCTGCCCGGGTCTGTTCTAGTACTCCCACCCCTGATCTTCCTGTAAGCTGTAAGGATCCAGGAAAAGCCCCTGTCCTCAGTGGGTGTGTCCGAGGTGCCGGCCACAGCCGAATGCCTCACAGGGCCAGCCAGAGTGTTCATGCATACTCATTCCGGTCCTTAGCCCAGCTGCCTCATGTGGGAGGGAGAGGAGGTATCTTCTCCAACTTAAGGATGACAAAACGAGCTGTTTACACACACCTTTGTCATCCATCCAAGGGCACATGACATCCTCAGGCTTTTCCAGAACCTTAGGAGTGGGGAAGGGACTTGAGAACCTGAGCTCTTCCAACAAACACATTCACCTCACCCGTGCCTGTGGGCTTCTCGTTGCCACGGCGCCTGGCGGGGTGCACAGTGGCTACGCCTTACCTCAGCAACCCGAGAGGCAGGTTCCGCTCTTCTCCTTACTTGACGAAGGAGCTCCACCCGCCCCATCACTACCACAGCCTCTCCCTCCCACCATTTTCCTGTTCCTTCTCCCCAAGGCAGAGGGACGTTTTTATCCTGTGCTCAGATTTTGTCCCTCCTCTGCTCAAAGCCCTCCCCTGTCTGCTGGGTGCTCCCTGTATCTCCCA